TTGGCCTTGTCCTTCACCTTCTTGTCCAGGTTCTGCATCAGCTTCTGGACAGCGGGGTCGGTGGGAGAGGCGCAGATTTTCTTATTCCTCTTGGTGGTAAGCCTGGGGGTGCAGGCAGAAAGGCTTGCTGGGGGGTGGGCAAGGGGGAGGACAGGGGGGGGGAGGGCTTGGCTGGAGCCGAACTGCTCCGGATGGTCCCGACTGCAGAGGGTACTCACACGACAGCACGCAGCAAACATCCCAACTCGGGTCCCTGGAGGCTGTAGGACTTCACCCAGCTGCTGGGGACGGCTTTCCGGCTGTGCTTCAGGCAGCAGTCCAGGGCCGAGCTGCCAATTCCTGGGGGCAAGGAGGGAACATGGGATTTTGGATGCTCACCAAGCCAGGGCACCTTCCCAGCCCTGGGGGAGCACAGCACAGCCGGCTGACGGCACAGGGCTTGCTTGGTGTCATTCGTAGGAGAGATGCTGGGGCAGCATGTGAGGGCGGGAGCTCTCAACCCCAGTACCCATTTGCAGGTCGGACCCTGCCCCGGGGATATGTGACACCAATTTCACTGCCAGCAGAGGGGAAACTGAGGCAGAGACAGGCTCCTTGCAAAGGGACTGAAGCTCGTTCTCCCGCCTGCGCCGTTCTGCTGCCCCACCAGCCACGTGCACACACACACATGCTCCCAAGCCAAGCAAGCACTGCAAGACAACACCGCACACCAACCAGGCATGCACACACACACACACCCCCCTCCCCTACACACAACCGCACTGCAAACCCCACACCCCCAGCCATACGCACACACCCAAATGCACCCCAAACACCCACCGTACACTGCGACCACACCGCCCAGCACCCCGCCGAGCACCCCATCCCACCCACAAGGGGGCAGGAGGGCTTCGCGCCCCTCACCTTGAGCCCGGGCGATGAGGAGGGTAGTGGCCAGCAGGAGCAGCAGCAGGTGGAGGCGCAGAGCCATGGCGGGTGCCGCGGGTGCTGAGCTGGGCAAGGCTGGGGAGCAGGACGCGCACTGCTGCCTTGTGCCGAGGCTGCTCCTATTTATCTCCGGACACTTTGCTTTCATTTTCGGCCAGCCTGGCAGGCAGCCCACCGGCCGGCAGAGGGCTGGGTGATGGAGAAGTGGGAGGGTGGGGGATTCCTGTAAGCTGCGAGCCCCCCTTTACGGACGCGTCCTGTCTTGTTCCCAGTTGCCCATCATGGCGCGGGGTGCCAGGTGGGGGTCACTCCGGAGACACAGCCCCCATCATGGCTAAATGAGTTTGTGGGCTCCTGTTTCCTATCCGGTCCTGCAACCTGCCGCTACCTGCTCTCGGTGGGTTGGCTGTTGCTGCTTGCCTGTTTGCTTCCCAGACAGGGACCCTGGCGGGTGGCCAAGCCATTAAGAAAACCAAGGAGTCAATCTGTTTTGCTTCCCCACCTCGTGCTTTGCTGCCGAGCCAAGCCACCCACCCCACATGGGTGAGAAGGGGCTCGGGGTGACCCCACATTCCAGCTCCCTGAGCATCCATCCCTGTCCAGCTGCCTCAGGGGCCTCCCCAAACAGCTGAACACATCTGTAGGGCTGGGATATGCAGGGGCTGGACTGCAAATGGGACTGGGGGAGATAGCACAGCCCACTGTGCATTGGTGCTGATGCCAAATTGTGAGGAGCTGAGGATGAGTGGGGACCTCGACCGGCTGGAGGAACGGGCTGATGGGAACCTCCTGAAGTTCAACACAGACAAAATGTGGAGTCCAACAGGTGGGACGGTGGGACCCCATGCAGCCAGACAGGTTGGGCATGGCTGGCAAGACAGGGCGGGGGGG